ACTTCTTTGGGCACTTGCATTTGAAATTAAATGGCTGAGTGGGCTCCATACACAAACCTAAGATGCAGATGTCTGTCTTTCTGTACCCTCCTATCAGTGCATATGTACAAGGGCACTTGAAAACATTCATGGAACAATTTTAAATACAATGGAATTTTCACACCAACTTTTTGATGTCCTCTTCATATAATAAGTCCATGGAGAGTATAAGTCCACTGCTTCTGTATATTCCAAAAGTCCTCATCTAACCAGCCAACCTGTTGGGGAAGTTTCTACCTTTCTAAATCAATTACAAGAACCTTTATTTTGCTGTCAAATCTAGTCTATTCATAATATCAAGAAAGGAAAGCCAAGGTAAACAAGCGGCCACCTAGCTCAGAAGCAAAAAAGCCCACATGGAAGCACACCAGCCTGTGTGATCACGAGGTGTCGAAGGGACGAGGTATCAGGCATCATCAGAACAAAAAATCATACCGTTGTGAATGAGGGGGAGTACGGAGTGGACACCCAAAGTCCATCGGTAGGCAACTGGACATCCCCTTACAGAAGAGTCACAGGGAGGAGACGAGCCAGTCAGGGTGCAGTGTAGCAACGATGCGACATACAACTTTCCTTTAGTTCCTAAATGCTTCCTCCCTCGCCCACCATCATGATCCCAATTCTACCTTACAAATCTGGTTAGACCTGAGGATGTACACTGGTACAGATAGGAACTGGAAACGCAGGGAATCTAAGGTGGGTGATCCCTTCAGGACCAGTGGTGAGAGTGGCGATACCGGGAGGGTGAGGTAGAAAGGGGGAACAGATTACCGGAATCTACATATGACCTGGGGGATGGAAAACAGAAAAGTGGGTGAAAGGAGATGTCTGACAGTGTAAGACATGACAGAATAATAATTTATAAATTATCAAGGGTTCATGAAGGAGTGGGGCACGGGGAGGGGAAAAATGAGCTGATGCCAGGGGTTTACGTGGAGAGCAAATGTTTCGAGAATGATGAGGGTAGCGAATGTACAAATGTGCTTTATGCAATTGAACCATGTAAGGATTGTGGTAATAAGAGTTGTATGAGCCCCCAATAAAAATGATTTTTTTTTTAAAGGAAGAAAAGAAAATAGACCCAAAAAAAAAAGGAAAGTCAAAGTGTCATTTTACAAAGAACTGGCTAATTAATAAAGTTGTGACCAAAATATCTCACCCCATAATTCTGAGCTTTTTGTCTCAGAATCTCAGGATAAACAAATTAAAAGGTTGGATTAAATTAAAATGTTATTTTCCGTATCAAAAAGTTCACTACCCCTTCAGAGACTGAAAACCATCATAAGGATGTCTACACGCCTCCAAGGCATAAAAGTTTTCTTTGTTTCCATACCAACTGGGTTGCCATGCACACAAGGTGCAAAAGCGCAGACATGTGCACACTCTGCGAGGAGAGGAAGAGGATCACCATTGCTTACAAATTTCCACAGTGGCAAAGGGGGCGGACACTCAACAGTCTCTTCCTCATCACCACCTGATAAAAGGTATCTGATAAAAAACAATAGTTCTTCCAACAGAACGCAACACAGCCTTCCACCACCACCCCGCCCCTTCCACCAAAAGAAAAGAAAATCCCAGCTGCCTCAGAGAACCCTTCCACCAAAAAGTAAACACCCGAGGGGGTGGGGCTCTTCTGCTGGGCCAAAAGAATGGGTGCAGTCTATCGACAGAATGGTCCACATGGGACAAAGTTACAAAAATGGGCAACCAGTAGCTGCATTTTGTCTCTGAGCACACGCGCACACAGTAACCCCGGCACCTTGGGGTTAATCTCTTACAGACGATCATGTTCCAATCTGCTGCCATAGCTCAACTAGCATCCCTACATAAGTAGAAGTTCTTTACTGGAAATTGATTTGATGATTAACATCTTTCAAGAGAAGGCTTTTAATACTCATCATAGTTATGTGTTTTCCCCCTAGACATTTCTTTGTACTTTGTAAAAGTCTAAGTAACTCAGCTAATGGAGACTTAACCTTCAAGTACACTCCCATCCAAGACTGAAAATGACTAACACCTGACTGACTTAGGTGTATATGCTCCAGATCAGGGGTAGAGAGCCATTTTTACCTGCCAGGCACCATCTGGATATTTGTAACATCATTCACAGGCCATATAAAATTATCAACTTGAAAATTAGCCTGATGTATTTGGACAGACGTTTCATTAACTCACCCTAATGTGACGGCTGAAACGACTTCTCTTGGGTGGCATGTGTAGTCATGGTGCTGATGATCAGGACCCCGGCTGCATGGGCCCCAGCCCCTGCTTTAGGGTATATCTCTTACAGGAAAACAGAGTAATCCAGTGTGGCTGGATTCGTACAGCATCAGCCCCTAAGAACCAAGCTCTGAAACACTGGATTTATGGCAACCAGTCCTAGAAAACAGGGCCTGTATCAAGAGACAGAAAAAGCTTGGTAATAGCCACACCCTGCCTAGGCTAGTCAAAGACCAGATTTCTAGCCTTTTGCATCCTACAGCACACAGGTTGGTATACCTTCTAAAATGTCTTCTTAACTCTTTGACCTAGTAATTACAGCTGTCTTCTATCTTGTAAGGAAATTTGCTCTTTAACAGTAGCACCTCATACTTCTTTCAACTGCAGTACGAAATTTGTTTTAAAAACATGGGAGTGAGCCTGTTCTGCTCACTTTCAATCTGCTGTCTTTAGAGCACAGGCATGCAGATGGAAACAGCTCAATTCTAGGAAGAAAAGGATGCTAAGAAACCTCATCATCCTCTTATTTTTATAATTCTTGGCAACTATCTAAATGTCCTTTAGTACAAAAACCAGGAACTCCAATTTAGGACTAAGGTGGTTGGTGGACCTAGTGACCCTAAGATCTTATTTATCATTAATCCTAAATTACAACAATACATATAAAGCAATTCTCTCTGGCTTAAAAATATTCCAAATCAAAGTTACTAGGTTACACTTATTTTTCTTCACCAGAAAAATGTTAATATATCTAATTTTATTATAACTATAACAATAAAAGAAAAATACTGCCACAGAAACAATAGAATTCAACAGGTAAGCATAACATTGTCCATCAAAAAGCCTCTGAACAGGTAGGGGGGGAGTTCACAAATTTAAAAAGTCATCAAAATTAATAAAAGTTGGCACAAAGACTTTTATAATTGATTCTGCTCTTTACTGTCATCTGAATTAACTGTTGGAGAGCAAAAGACGTGAGGGAACAGGTGATGAAATGTCTGTACAATGCTCACAAGCATTCAGCTGACCTTTTCTAGAGACCACAGTGCTGAATTTACAGAAGGATGCAGTTCCTGCAGCCAAGGATACATTTCACTTAGATCTGCATTTCCATTTTCAATTACACACAAATACTTAAGCCTTAAAAGTATCACCCAATTTGAAAGCACAAAGCTAACTTTGCTATAAATCTTCATTTTTTACTAATTTTAATAGAAAAATAAGGTTCTCCAAAGCTCAACACAGTAAACAGTCATCACAACTCCTGACAATGTAGAAAACTTGCATTTTATACATTAACAAAACATCCAAATTAATTTTCAAATACCTGTAATAAAAGTCACCTGGTCTAAAAAGAGTTCTATTAGGCTCTCAGACCTCTCTGAATACGCATTTCTCAGGAGAGCATCAATGGTTAAAATCCTAAAACCCATACATTTGCTATTTAACATACACTTATGAAAAAGCATGTAAACTACACCCCCCCTATATATTTATCATTATAATGGTTAAGTAAAAAAATTCATCTAACATCTTATGAATCATAAAAGCACCCACAAATATTCAAAATATGAAAGATTCACAGTGCACTGCACCGGGGAACATTTAAGGTGGGAACATAATATTTTAAAAGTGAATTCAAAGGCCAATTTATCAAAGACAACATAATGAAGCCAACACAACTGTTCGTTGCCAACTTCTTAAAATGCAACACACTAAATTATGGCATATTCAGCATACTCCTTTACCACTTGATTTCCCCAAACCATCCTAAAATTTTTCAAAGGAGAAATCCAGTGTCTGTACTAAACATGGCCTTTCTCAAGGTAATGTGAACACTGAAAAATTAAAACACAGGCTCAAGGGAATAAGTACAGCAGATGTACACAATGAGTACATCTAATTTGTACATATTCTGCATAGTTAATTCACATCGTATCACACACACTTTATCACATCTTTTAACATTTTTTACCCCAATCTATCAAGAGTTAAGTCTAAAAGTGTCATAATCCCATCCCAATAATACCCTTTTTTTTGTTCCACAGTGCATTAAATGAAGCAGCCCATCAGCAATGGCATTTAACTATAGTTAACCTACCAGTAATCAAAGAGAGACAATATGTTGGTCCTTAAAGAGGCTGATACCATTCAAGGCCATACTTCTGGTAACTACGGAATCTCGGTCTTTTAGTATTGAGAACTGAAGATCAACTGTAGGCACCAGAACAACTGACCAAAGTACTCAGAAAGAAAACACACACACACACACACACACACACACAAATATTAAACGGTTTCCAGGTGGCAGTAAACAAGTGACAATGCAATGATGTTACCTGTCAAGCAAAGTCAGGTTTTACTCCCTTACAATGGTAACAGAAATCTGGAATGCTGGGATCAACTATACATATGGCTCAAGGAAGCCCAAGCAAAGCAGCCATATTTCTGGAAATAATATGAGCTTCCTCACAACAAATGCATCTTAAAAGTCACAAAGTTTCACAAGTTCATCACATTACAAGATGCAGGATTCTAGAAAACGTAGTTCTAAATGTACTTACTAAAATTGTAAATTCCTGCTTAGCACCAAGAGGGTGACAAATAGAATTTCTCCTTAAAGCCATTTTGAGATGAAGCAAAGTAATATCTAGTGAGTGTCTTACAATAGCGGCTTCCATTAAAAGACCCTATGGGTTAAATACAGCCCCTTTTAAATAAGCTACCTCTATAGAAGATTACTACGATGGCATTTACAAGCAGAGATATTTTGTGGACACCACACATACATGATTTTTTAGACCCATACTGAACAGATGCACTTGCACAAATGCTCATGCACCTCCCCATCAACATGAGGTCAGATGCACTCAAAACCCTAAGAACTCTGTAAAGTCCAGGTGATTGTCCTCAATTATAGCCAAAATCTAACGCAAAATGCACATTGTCACCCTCCTCATCTGGACTGGAAAATCCTGAATAAGATGCATTCCCAAGAGTGAATTCTGTACATTTATGTTCTGATCCTTCCTCCTCTCACTGCAGGGTTTTCAGCATTGTCAATAAGAGCCTATACTGCATTCTTTGCAGTGACTGCCAACTGGATCCTCAAATATCATCCGTTTCCACGTATCAACACTGAGATGCGATGGGAAAAAATTAATGATGTCAGTTTTACATAGTATTTACAAGAAATTTTCCTAAGAACAATATAAATTTATAATAGGAAAATGAGTGGAGGCAGTGTGGCGATGCTGATCACACCTTGCTGCAGGGTCCTGGCCGCCATGCTTCTCTCGTGCACACTCTCGGCAGCAGTCTCCTGGTTCATGACTGCCTGCAGCACCACACCAGACCTCAAGCCTACTCAAGCTGCAAATGTCCTTTCAGGAAGTGCTAACACTTCAGTTTGAACGTGAACATTGTATTGCAGATGCTGGCTCTAACTACAACCTTTCAGCAAGACTCTAAATGGAAGAGAATTAGAGATTCTAGGAAGCAGATAAATGCTCTAAATACCCCTGAAGCAGATGACTTACAATCTCTTTCTGTGATGGTTCAAAACTCATACTCATTTCGTAATTGTGCAGTTCAAGGGTTTTGTCATAAAGAATATAAGCAAATTACTATTGCAATCACTATAATGGGTATATGGAACAAATTCTACTAACCTGGTTACTTCATGACGCAAACACTTTTCTTGACCAGAATACAAAAATAAGGCGCGCAATCACACAGAAAGTATGCTTTCAAAACCAGCAACTTAAACTAGTTAGCGAAACACTGAAACGGTACATCTGTGTAAAAGGTTATAACTGCATTTACAGTGCATAATCTTGGGGTTTTTTGCCATTCTCTCCTCCGCACAAAGAGCCATCTCTTCAGAAACATCACTGCCTCCCTGCATTTCTTTAAAACACCTGAGAAAGGTAAGGCTTGAAGAGACACACGTTGAACTGCAACAGATCTCTATCTTGATACTTCTGTTAACACATTTGTTGCGATTAGAGATCCAAGATTTTCATAATGGCATTATGATCAAACTTGAAACTCAAAAAGGCTCTGGATGAAAATGGGAACTTGCAATGTCCATTACAGGTCACAGACTGTCCCTCAGCATGTTCCAGCAACTGGTCTTCACCAGAGCAAGGGAAGTCATATACAGCTTCTGCACAAAAAACAAAGCAAATAGGCTCGTGAATTTACAAGGTAATCAAACACGGTCCTCCAACTTGAGTAATAAATGAACTGACAATGAACACGCTTATCTTCCCACACTCTGAACCTAACTGAAATAGAACCCGCAGGACATTTTCCTTTCTCTAACCTAGTGCCATACCATTGCTTATTTCTATACAACTTTTCAGAATCTTATCCTCAGCTTTTCTTTTTTTTTTTAATATTTAATGTACATTTATTATATGAAGACCTCCTGTATCTGACCTCAGCCTTTCTTTTATGACCTCTGACATTCGTCTACTTTCAAACAGGACATACATTTGTTCTGCTCTTACACTGGTACTTTGTGCTAACATAAGGTGCGATTCCTTTGTCCATACCAATCTGAAGACAAACCTAAGATTTCAAGCAGTTACAATATCTCAACTCCAATTTATCTGGAAATTTTTCTTAATTTTTTATAATAGAGCATTGATCTGACCCAGAAAGGAGGTTATGAAGGGGCTAAAGTAGAACTGATTTTAAAAAATAACAGGACAAAGATTTTTTAATACATTTCTCAAAACTAAGAACTCAAAGACTTATAAATCCACATCATGCCCAACAAAGCTGGAGATACTATGTTACCTGTGCCACCTTTAATGTTCCAGAACACCAATATGGCTTTAAATCTATTTTGAAATAATTCATGTGGATGCTATGTTAATTAGATTTTATTATTAGCCAGTTATTTCCCCACCATCCAAGGTCTCCAAAAAAGTTCTATTAAGAAGATGTCTACCCCAGTATGGCAGGTGCCAGACCAAATCCAGGGTACATAGGGTAGCCAACCACAAAGGGAAGGGAAGAGGAAAGGGAAAGGGAAAAAAAAGGATATGTGATGGGGGAATAGGGCACTGACCACACAAGGGAAGGGTATAGTTTGTGTCTTCAAAGGGAAAGAGGGACCAGATTTAAAGCCAGTGCCAGATGAATGCAACTTGTTGGCAAGGAGTGGGGAGCCAGTGGAGGGGCCTGAGGGCTTGGCCCC